TTGGTGAAGTTGCTTTCTTGGAAGCACTTGTCAATGCGACTATTCCATGCTCGTGGCGCTTTTTTTAACCCATAGAGGGCTTTCTTCAGCTTCAAAACTTTGTCTTCATGCCCTTTGATTTCATAGTCTGACGGTTGCTGAATGTAGACTTCTTCTTCAAGGACTTCATGTAGGAAAGCAGACTTCACATCCATTTGTTGAATCTTCCATTTGTTTTGAGCTGCCAAAGAAATTAGTAATCGTATAGTTTCCAACCGAGCAAAGGGTGCAAATACCTCATCATAGTCGATTCCGGCTCTTTGACTATAGCCATTCGCCATTAGTCTTACCTTGAATCTTTCGACCTCTCCATTGGCATTTTTCTTTGTCTTGTACACCCACTTGACTCCGATGGCTTTGTGTCATTTCGGAAGAATAACGAGTTCCCATGTATCATTCTTCTGGATTGCTTCAATTTCTTCATCCATTGTTTTCCTCCACTTAGTATCTTGCACTGCTTCTTGGAAGTCAACTGGTTCACAATCAGCAAAGAGACAAAAAAATGTAGGATTATCGAGTCTTTCAGCTACCTCATAGAGATATCATAGACTTTTTGTGCATGGTACTTCTCTTTCATTTAGACTCTCAATTGATGATGCTGACGCTGGTGAATTGCCATGATTGGTTGATGTTGGTGAAGCAGGTGGAGTAGTGGATTTTTGTTGAACCTCTCTTACTTACTCCATCATCCTTTGTTCATTCTCTTCTTCAAACTGAGGAAAGAAGTAAAGATCACCTGCATGAGAGCCAAAATCTCATTCTCCTTCTTCATTGAACATCATGTCTCGACTGATCACCGTCTTCCCATTGTTTAGATTATGCAGTTTATAGCCTTTTGAATTTGAGTCATAGCCGATGAAGATGAACTTCTCACTTCTGTCGCCGAGTTTGGTTCTCCTCTCGTCTGGTACATGTGCATAGGCTATGCTTCCAAAAACTCTTAGATGAGAGATACCTGGTTTTCTTCCACTCTATACTTCTTGTGGAGTCTTTCCCCACACACTTCTTGTTGGAGACCAATTGGATAGGTAGACAGCACATGCTACAGCTTCTGTCCACAACTCCTTAGGCAATTTCTTACTTTTGAGCATGCTTCGAGCCATGTTGAGGATAGTTCGATTTTTTTCTTTCCACCACACCATTTTGTTGAGGGGATCTTGGAATTGTCAAAGGTCGACGAATTCCATTAGCTTCACAAAATTCTTGAAATTCATTCGAAGTGAATTATCCTCGATCAGATCTCATGGCTTTGATCTTGCAACCACTTTTTTTTTCAACGGCAGCTTTGAACTTCTTGAATGCTCCAAAGGCCTCTGATTTCTGCTTCAAGAAATATACTCAGGTTTTTCTTGAAAAATCATCAATGAAGAGAAGGAAATAATTATTTTTACCCAAAAAGCTTGGTTTTATTAGACTGCACACATCGGTATGAATGAGCTCAAGTGGCTTCTAGGCTCTTGTGGTCGACTCATTTGGAAAGCTTTTCCTGAATTGTTTCCCAAGTAAACATCATTCGCAAGCTTGATCAAGGTGGCTGATGCACGGTAAGCCTCTCACCATCTCCTCATTGGATAATAACTCTAATCCCCCAAATTTAAGATGCTCAAAACGAAGATGCCAAAGCCAGGATGTATCTTTGTAGCATGTTTTGAGGCACTTTGCAACATCATTTTGAATATTCATAGGAAACATCATATTCTTTGACATTTTCACCTTGGCAATTAATCTTCCTTTGTCATCTCTAAGAAAAAGGCTATAATTTTTCACATGAATATCATAAACTTTTTCTAAGAGTTGACCCAAGCTCAAAATATTGCTTTTCATATTGGGCACGTAGTAGACATTTGAAATTAATTGGTGACCGCCATTTTTCAGAGGAATAAGGATGTTACCTTTTCCTTTTAGGGGTATTTTGGATTCGTCTCCAAAAGAAACGTTGCCACTCACTGATTCATTGAGCTCTACGAACATGCTTCTTCTTCCGCACATGTGGTTGCTGGCGCCGGTGTCAAGGTACCATGTATAGTCTTGGTCTCCATCATTGTTCTTGCATGCTAGTAGCACAAGGTCATTCTCTTATTTCTCTTCTTTCACATAGTTGACCTTCTCATCAAGTCTGTTGCTTGGAGCTCTACATTCCCAAGCATAATGCCCAAACTTTTGACAATTGTAGCATTGAACTTGAGATTTTTCATACCTCAAGTTTGAGTTTCCTTTTCCACGACCTTTTGTTGAGCTTTCTCCTCTTTCGTAGTTGTTATGGTTGTTGAAGTTCCAACCATGTCCACGTCTGCAACCTTGACCATGACTTCTTCCATACTGGCTTCTCTCGTTGTTGAAGCTTTCTTCTTTCTTCTTTGGCTGGACATGCGTCTTGAGGATTTGCTCATCATTCCCTTGTTTCTTCTTATGTTTCTCTTCATATGCTTGTAGTGAACCCATTAATTGCTCTATATTAATTTCTTCCAAATTTTTAGTTTCTTCAATCGTCAAGACAATGTGCTCAAACTTGGTGTTCAACGAGCGTAGTATCTTCTCCATAATTCTAACATCTTCTAACTTTTCTCCATTTCTTTTTAATTGATTGGAAATGGCTAAGACTCTTGAGAAATAATCAAAGATTGATTCAGACCCTTTCATATGTAGAGATTCGAACTCACATCTTAATACTTGAAGACGAACCTTTTTCACTTGTTCAGCTCCTTTGTAAGAGGTTTGAAGCTTCTCGTATGCTTGCTTGGCAGAGGTTGCACTCGAGACCTTCTCAAAGCCATTATCATCTAATGCTTGGTAGATGAGGTAGAGAGCCTTCTTGTCTCTCTTTCTTGAATCTTTCAAACTCTCCTTCTGGGGTTGGGACAACGTAGCTTCATCTTCTAGCTCAATGTAGCCTTTCTCCACGACTTCCTATAGATCGTGTGCTCCCAAAAAGGCCTTCATTTTGATACTCCAATTATCGAAGTTGTTGTTGTCGAGCACTGGAACTTGGAAGGCTGCCATAGCTTTGCTAACCATAGCTCTGATACCACTTTGAAGGCTGTCATAGCGTTGCTAGCCATAACTCTGGTACCACTTTGTTGGGGCTTAAAAAGACTTCACTACTTTGGGGATGTTTATCTCACAAAGAATAATGTAATGCAGCGAAATTGATAGGCAAGAGAAAGAAAGAATACTCAAAGTATTACACAATATTTTTATTCACTCACAAACTTAGTACAAGAGGAAACACTCAAACACTCTTAGAAGCTTTGTTGCTTCTTTTCACTTCTCACTTGGCACTCTCACTTCTCACTACTTACTCTCTTGTTGTTACAAATGGTGTGGATGCCTTCTCCTTTTATAGGCATGGATGGAACCTTGAAGAAGCATGGAAGCATCATACTAGAGATATCTAGATAATTCCACTACCTTACTAAGCTAGAATTATCTACACTAATCTTGTATGTTGGTGGAATCCTCACCATTCTTCTAGACTCTTCCACCAACTTGAACTTTGCTAGAATTCTTTAGCATGTGCATGGATCTTTCTTTGTGCATGGGCTGGATCCGTTATCTTTGGGCCAAGACAAGATTACAATTCAACACTCAGGACTCACCTCACTCACACTTGTATCAGTGATATGGCTGTGTATATATGTTGTACTTCTTTTGTAGCAATTATATATCCAACTGAAACAACTGAATAACACACGGTGGAAGGACTTTATGCTCTTTACAAATCATAACCTCCGGACTCCTGAAAAAGCAACTCCCTTACAAGCGTGATGTATCTCATTTCTAATACTGATGTTAATTTCAACAACATTAAACATAACCAATATGACTAACACTTTCACTCGCATCATGAACAAGTAATTTCTCTAATTTATTTAGGGTGGCCATGCATTGTTACATATGCATGTAGAAACCATCTCTTAGATTGCCTACATTTTGTGGCATTGAAACCATATTGATGCAAATTAATGAAGGTAACAATGAATCGAAGGGGCTGCTCCATACTTACTATAAATGAACTAAAAAATAGGGGATTGTCATGAACACTTCACAGAACATCACATGGGAGTCTTCTTCAGTCACGTCACTACCCTTGTAAGTAACTATATGTTCTAATAATGCAGGGGAGAGAGAGAGAGAGAGAGAGAGATGAAAAACTTTGAACAGAAGTAGTACTCTTGGGGAGGTCAGAAAACAAATCTAGAATATAAAAGGCCAACTCAAAAATCAAAGAAGCAAATAACATGGGAGGTCCTCTTATTTTGTTTTCTCTTCAAAAAGACCATGACCTCCATCTCCTTTTTTTTTCTTTACATGAAATAAAGCTCTTAGAGTGCAACCTGTAGCATAAAAGGGTCCCATTAAAAAAATAATTAAAATAAATAAAATCTCCATTCATAAAAATAAGTCACTCTCCAAAAGGAGAAATTTTTCATCGTGACAGGAACACGAGTGGTACACCATGTGTTATTATATAAGTGGTGGAAAGTTTAATTTTTTAAGTTATTAATTTGTTAACACATATATCTCACTATTTGTATAGTGACACGTGGTGTACCACCTCGTGTTCCAATCACATTGAAAAATTTCTCCTCCAAAATACGAGAAATTTTTCTTTATGACGGGAACACAAGTGATACACTACGTGTTTTTATATAAGTGGTGGAAAATTTTAATATTTAAGTTATTAACTTTTAACACACATATCCCACTATTTGTATAGTAACACGTGGTGTATCACCACGTGTTCCGATCACACTGAAAAATCTCTCCCAAAAGACCCTTTTATCACCATCACACTTACACCTTCCCTTTTACCCATACATGAAGAAATGGACGGTTGATGGAGCATGAAAGCAATATACATCAAACCCTCTTTAGTTTTCTCCATCCCTCTTAATTTATATTTGTACTACTTCCTCTCCTCCATTACTATATAATCCAACCTAGCTAGGGAGAGTGATACACATTTATAGCAAGTATATTTCTAGACTATCACCCTTACAAAGCAAATAATGAAGGATATGTCGGGTGATGGTTGAGACGTCTATTTTTCCCGTCCTTAAATACTGATCTCTTTAAGCAAAAACCCAGTTTCCATTTCTGCAATTCTTCCTTCCCGTTGCCAATTGCAACCCCAAAAGAAAAACTCAAAGTCAAGAAGTAATTATCTTCTTTTTGTTTATACATGCCTAATCTTTTATTCCTACTTTGCTTTGTTTTCCTTATACAAGTTGGTTTAGTGGTCTTCAAAAAAAAAAATAAAGCTCGCACGTAACTCATGATGTTAATCTATATCTATTGATTTATTACAAATATGGTTGTCAAAATTGATCTTGATCATGCCTTTTAATTAGAGAGTGTGGTTTTTGGTTTTTTCTTTGCTAGCTAGCTAACAGAAAAAACCACAATTCATCAATTTGGAGGGGTTTTTGCCATTTTTCATCCTTGCAACAATGGAGTTCCCAAATCAAGCACCCGAGAGCTCCTCCCAGAAAAAATTGGGAAGGGGCAAAATTGAGATTAAGCGGATCGAAAACACTACAAATCGACAAGTTACCTTCTGCAAACGCCGCAACGGATTGCTTAAGAAAGCCTATGAATTGTCTGTTCTTTGTGATGCTGAAGTTGCTCTTATCGTGTTCTCCAACCGTGGCCGCCTCTATGAGTATGCTAACAACAGGTTTGCATATTAATTTCTAATTTTCTTAATTTAACTATTTTGTTCTAGCACTTTAGCCTCTCTCTCTCTCTCGATCTCTAAGAGTTCTTCTGATTTGATCTTCAAGTAGTCTTAATTCAATTAATCACTGTATTCGTTTATATATATGATCTTAACTTTTCAGCTGGAAGCTAATTTTAATTATTTAGTTACACATAAATTCTAATTACCAACGGAGCAGTTGAGATTAATTATTTTGTTCTTTTTGGTTTTGGGTGTGGCTAGCTAGGATGAAACTTGAGTAATTAAAGTGGCCCCAAAAGGGATCACATATATTTATTTTCTTCTTTTTGTTTGTTTTCCTTTATAAGCTTTGAGGCATATTTCAGCTTATCAACCAGAAAACTTTGATATTTGGGGTAATATATATATTTTTTATTTTCTTTATATATTGTGCTTATCTTTCTATAGCTTAGCTCTTTGTGTGGCTGGATGCAGATCTGTAGGATCACAGATAAAAGTAGAGGAAGTTGTGTATTAGTGATCCTAGCAGTTTTTGTATGATAACAATCTTAGGGTTACAAAGTGTTGCAGGTCTGTTAGATCAGCTTCCATGTATCTCCGTTGTTGTTAAACTCCTTTCTCTCTCTCTCTCTCTCTCTCTCTCTCTCTCTCTCCCCTCTTGCAGGTCTGTTAGATCAGCTTCCATGTATCTCCATTGTTGTTAAACTCCTCAACTCTCTGTCCCTTTCTCTCTCTCTCTCTCTCTCCACATGTCATCAAACAGCAGTCCATAAAAATTATGTCAGCAGCTCTCAAAGCTGTCCAACTCTCATTAGCCAGTTCCCTTCATCTCATGACGCTTCCTAAGTAAACATGTCAACTCAGCTAAGAAGTAAAATGGATATATATTATGTATATAAGTTAAAACCTAAATAAAAAAACTCCAATCAGATTGCCTGAACTACGTAATTTCACCACCTTTTTATAGTTATGGGAAATACATTAATTTTTGTTCTATTTATTTGCCGCTTTCTGGAACATAAAGGAGGAGGCTAGGGGTGTTGTTAGCTAGGGTTTCAGAAGTCAAATTACATATTAACCAAGCATACTTCAATCAGTCTGCTGCAAGTCTGAGATATAGGTTCAAAAGCCTAATGGATGTCTAAATTTTTATCGGAAAATTTTGAAAAAAAATCCAATTTTATAGCCAATCTTTTGAAATTAGTCCAATTTTTAGTAACTTTCGACTTTTGAAATATATCCAATTTTTAGTCCAATTGGACCCATATCAAAAGACCCCATTTTTATCTTATTTTCAACAGAAATCACACAAGAAATATGATTTTGTTAATTAAGGCTAAAAAACTCAAATGGGAATCTTTAAATCTTGTTACAGATCTATCATTATTCCTAGATTCTCTCCGGATCCCCTCACTGGGGATCCTGGGGATCAATTAATAACACCGTTCATAAAAAATTGTGAGGCCACAATTTTTTTTTTCATGCAAAACGAGATTGCTTTACTTTTGAAAATATAAAAAGCATTAAATTGTGGCAGCACAATCTTTAATGAATGATTGATATTAATTAATCCCCGGATTTCCAATGAAAAAATCCGAAGATGATCTAATTTCATTCCCAAACATCAAAGTATTTAAATTAACACAGAGGGAGACTGTTTTGATCATTGTGGTGGGTCTGGGAAGCCAGAACAGTACATCTTGTGTTTAGTGTTTTAAAACCCAAATTCGAGTGGGTGTTTATTTTATCATTTTACCTTCACTTTGGAGAAATTCTACGGTCTAGAGACCGGACCAGGTCACCTCTACAGACCAAGACACGAAAAACCCTCCCTTAACCTACCCCTTGATTGGTCATACTAAGGGGTGGTTTGGGAGTGATGTGTTTAAAAAAAAAGCACTCATGAAAAAAAGATGTGAGGGTTTTAGGTGTTTGGTAAACTGAAAAAAAAAGGCTTATTTTGGAAACTGCTATAAGAATAAGCTGAAATCAAAGGAAAAAGCTGAAGCTGCTATTTGCAGCTTTGGAAAAGTGGAGCTACAGTGCTCCTTTAATGAAAAGACCAACTATCAGACTGTTTTTTTTTTTTTTTTCTGAAAGCACTTTTTACAAAAAAGTTTACCAAACAATCTGCTGATTTATTTCACAGCCGCTTATTCTCACAGCACAACCGCTTATTCTCACAGCAGTTTTTTTTCAAAGCACATCAATACCAAATCAGCCCTAACTCTGGCCCGCTTTTAGCCCATCCCCCTTTCACCATCCCTGATCCCGCATAGAAGAATCTCTCCTTACTTGGGGTTCTCTGATATTTCCCAGCCTATCCTTCACTCGTTTTTTATTATATTTAGTTTCTTGGTAAAAAATATAATAATTAAGATCTAACGATTAAATATTCTCAAAAAAAAAAAAAACGCCTATTTAGTACATATGTCAGGAATTGGTACAGGGAAGCAGGTGCCTAGGGTTTCTTGTGTGAGTGAGTGAGCTGTATTGTTGTTTCTTTGAGTTTACAGCTTAGGAATCTTTGGTCACGTCAGACATGATGTTTCTGTTCGTCTAGTCCGGACAAAGAAGCCGCTATCACATAATGATTCCCTTAATTTTCATCTTTTCTTTTTACTTTTTATCATTTTTTCAACGGGACATTATATTTACACATCTTAAATTACTTCCTTCAAACTTTTTTAATTTTTTAATATTTTTCTATCAAGTGTTAGTAGTATGTAGAAAATAATAAAAAATTTAAAAAATGTAAAAAAAGTAATTTGAGATGTGTGAATATAATCTTTATTTTCTAATATCTTCCCTTCGTTTTGTTTCTTTTTATCTTTTGAGTTTCTGTGGTGAAAAAAGATGAAAAATAATTTTCCTTGTTCTCATTATGCATTATTATTAATCTATCTATGGAGGAGTCATTAGTCATGAAATCCTTCATCTTTCTGGAAACAATATCCTCAAGAAGCACAAAAGGAGACTTTAACTTATACCTCAAATTTTATGAGTGTATATATATATATACACACACACTGCAAAAACCCAGAAGAGGGAGAATCATGTTTAATTAGTATCCTGCTTCCCTTTTACTGAACCATATATAGATATACATAGATTTGTATATTATTTACCTGCATATGCTCCAAGAAGAGTTGTGTGTGACTGTGACTCTGTGAAGAGAGAGAGAGAGAGAGAGAGAGAGATGAAAGAAGCATTTATGAAATGACTGAGAAATGGAGAAGACAAGTCAGTGAAGAAGAAATGCTAAAAATGGCTGCAAAAACAGACATCTTTGTCTCAAGAGAATTCAGAGACATAAAAGGAAATAAAATCTTTTTCAGATCTGTGAATAAAAATCACTTGTTAATACCCCAGTCTTGGTAAAATTTAAAGGGTCTTTTGGTGTTTTGGGGTCATCGAGGTGGGAATAGGATTGTTACTTAGGGTTATTGCTCATTGTGTAATGGGTTACTGACACGTGGAGTAGATTTAGAGATCGTGAGAGGGAGCCAATCATATATGGGATCTTCTGCCAGCATGGCAGAGGCAACCAATCACTGCATGGCTCGATGAAATTAAGGTAACAACTCTCCAAGAGTATATTGAATGCTTTTGTTTGGTTATTTTGTTTTCTTTTCTTTTGGGCAATTTTTGGTTCTGTTCCATGTTGCAGAACATCAACTAGGGACTACACATTAACAGTGGTGGAACCGGATCTGGCCATATAGCTTAGCCCTTTTAAAGTATTAATCTGTTTTGTATATTTAGTATCATTGGGTATTTATATATAGGGTTATTTTGGTTCTAATCCCTAATTAGCTTAATTGTTATACTGAAACTTTATTTATTTAAATATTTTGATTGAGGTCCTTAGCATCATGTATTTAATGTCCCACAAATTATGAAAATTGAACATATATATATTCTATGGATAAATGTTTGTTTATGTGGTAATTATATAGGGTATATCATCTTGTATGAAGCAAAGAAGATTACTTGAAAGCAAGCAAAATTTTAAAGGCACTAGACGTTAGTTTGGCGGCGGGCAGGAGCCTAGCGGCGTAATTTTAATTTTAACTAAATTTATTATATAACATATAAATAATGTCTACTTATACTTAAAAAAAAAAAAATAAATATATATATATATATAAGTGTATTGGAATACATAAATTGCAAAATAGAATGACATATAAATTATAAAGTATTGAAACATATAGAAAACATAGGGAACAAGCATATAATGAGTGTTCATCCAAGTATCTATCAAATCTCTTACAATTTATTGAAAAAACAGAATGAAAAATAAAGATCATTTATTTTATGTCTAAGCGAGAGTTGCAACCTAGGCGGTCTATGAGGGTACATAGGCGAGTCTAGACAATCACCTTAGCATGTTTAGTCATCATTTCTTATTATTAAATACGTAGAGATTAATCGTGGCTGTAACCAACTGCCTAATGTCTAGGCGGTTCTAAATGGGGATTTTTAGGACAATGCTTGGAAGTGAAATTAGATTCCAACTTTAAACGTCATTTTTTATTAATCAAAAGTATTGTTTTCTTATAATTTTTAATCAGTGTAATTCTTCTTTTAGTTTCACAAACTATTTAAGTAGTCAATTATAATATAGTTTTAATTCATGCGTCTTGGGTTCGAAACTCTCCTTCACCTAAATTATTGTAATAGTTCCGAATCCTCCCTTCTCCTTAATAATAATAATTTTTTTAAGTGGTCAATTATAGTACAATTTAACATAAATCAAACATAAACGATAACTCTAATCAATTTATGCATACCAATGTAATATGCACTGAATTCACTAATTAGTGCAAAAACTAAGAAGTGAAGTGGAACACTCATATCACAGTAACCATTCTAATTTATCAATTATGTCTTCGAGTTTCCTCTCACATCTCTCGCAAGCTAGAGCTATAAAACTGGAACACTCACTCTTATCTATTTTTTTTTTTTTAATCAAAGAAAATAAACTCATAGTTATAGCCCGTGTCCAAGATTGGATATTTGGATTGGGTTGAAGAACTAATTAAATTCAATGTACGCTAAATGAGAAAATAGATATCAACTTTTAATTTTTTTTTTTTTATGACTAATTCCTCGTTTACTTTCAACTATAACAAAATTTGGGTGTTAGCATCCATTATTTCTTTCTTACAACAACATTGAATCTATGAGTTGTCTATTCCAATCCAACCCTTGACACCAAACGATGCCTATTAATATTCATAAAAGTGGCTGTCTCTTCGTCCAATATCAGTTAAACATGTTTGTCTAAGGAACTAGTGAAAAGTCTTATCCAATTAAGTATATCCCTTTTTTATCAACTAAAATGTAGACTCATGATATTCCAAATGTACTTGTTGGTACCCTAGGTATATACATGGCACACCATTAGATTAAGTTTAAGAATAAGGAGCATCGATAGCCACCATCCCAACTCCAATCCTAACCCTAATTTATTGGTGTAGTGTATAGCTAGGCCTAGGCCATCAACAAGTAAATTGTTGGTGGTTTTATTTTTGTGCGTATAATGTATCTCAGTGTCTGTGTGTGTATTTCTGGAGATTCTTTACATTATTTCTTTGAATTCTTAATTTTGGAGAAGTTCTTTTACTATAATTAACTTCCATAACTGTTGTTCTGAGTTGGGTCCATGATCAAGCAAAAAAGGATCATGCTAGCTAGGGTATCAATAACGTTTATGATTACTTCATATACGATATCAGTTTATTATGTCGAGGGTTAGGTTTCTATGTAAAGTATTGAAATCGCAATTTTCATGTGATCTAACACCCGAAAATATACATTAGGGATGATAGCTAGGAGTTTTACCTCACAAGTACAAGAATCAAGAAGTCGGATTCGATGAGATCCCACGAAGTTGTTCTTGCCTACACGACAAAATTAAGTCACCAAAAACCCTCAAAGATGTGATGATGGTTCACTTGGAAGTTGGAACTTTAATTTTTCTCAATGGGAGAGAAACAGAGAAAATATGCAAAAGGCTTGGCATAAAATTGGGTTGTTTGTGTTTGTTCTCTGCAACTAGGTATGAACAATAATTGCATAAAAGAGAGTGAGATAATAGAAGAAAGAAATATTGTTTTGATCTCTCAATGTGTGATGCTGCTTTCTTTGACTTATGATGTGTTATGGTTGGCCTCTAGGCGCCTAGCTTATCCCTTTGAGTGCACCATTTCTTATATTGGTACAATTTCTAATTAAAATACCTACAAAATGGGGCATTTCATTCCAAATTATTTAAGTGTTTGAAGAACCCCACAAAAAATTGGAAGCTTAACGTTAATTAGTTCTTTTTCTCTTAGCAGTGTTAGAGCAACAATCGACAGGTACAAAAAAGCATGCGCTGATCCTACGAACAGTGGATCTGTTTCAGAAGCCAACACTCAGGTAAACTCCTTTTAGGTGACGAATAGAACGGGTTAAATGTTCCAAAGAATTTATGTTTCTATAGCAGGTTTTGAAGTGGAAGTTCTTATGTACATTGAAAGCCTTATAGTATGAGTTTTTCATCATTTTGTAACCACATAAACCCAATATTAGGCAAGACATGTCTAGCATTAGTCTTAAATAATAGTTAATTTCTCTATAGATTAATCTTCCTTTTCCTCTAGCTAGATCCCAATATGTCACTAAAACTGGCTATTTATATCCAATTTTGGTCACCTAATCCACACTGGCTAGCTAATTATAACCCTGAGCCCTAGAGAAGCAATTGCAATGCTCCTGATTCAAGTTTAAGCTTCCTCTTTTCCGGACATTCGTTTCATCTGCTGTTTATTCATTTAATTTGTATGTATTGAAACAGTTCAACTTGTTTTATGAGTTTGTCTAATGCTGTCACCACATACATGGCCTCAGTTTTATCAGCAGGAAGCATCCAAACTGCGAAGACAGATCCGAGAAATTCAGAATTCAAACAGGTAATTAAGTAGAAATAATTTCATTAGATAATTGACTACATTGTCTAATATCTGTCCGTCTACATATTCTGCAATGAACGATACGATCATAACTTATTCAGCCCCTTTCTCCAGGCATATACTGGGTGAAGCTCTTAGCTCCTTGAACGCCAAGGAACTGAAGAACCTAGAAGGAAGATTGGAGAAAGGAATCAGCAGAATAAGATCCAAAAAGGTACTCCATTTCCCTATTTTGATTGCAAAAATTTGTTGAACTCTTTCACTTTTAATTAATCCCGACTACAAATCTCAACTGACGTGTACTCGGATAAACCGCAGAATGAAATGCTGTTTTCTGAAATCGAATTCATGCAAAAAAGGGTAACCTATTCTTCTACTATACTACTATATTACATGCCTTTGGTGCCAAATTTCATTATTCATGTTACTTATACAACAATTTTACTTCTGAAAAACAATATTACGTGCACATTGTTTGTGCAGGAGACCGAGCTGCAACACCACAACAATTTTCTGAGAGCAAAGGTGAATCTCTCTTTCTCCCTTCAACTGCATAAGCCAATGCCGGAAAGGAAAAATTAACTACTAATACGAATGATAAAATTAATGTTACATGGTACAGATAGCTGAAAACGAGAGGGAAGAGCAGCAGCATACACACATGATGCCGGGAACTTCCTACGATCAGTCAATGCCTTCGCATTCTTATGACAGGAACTTCCTCCCAGCGGTGATCTTGGAGTCCAACAATAACCATTACCCTCACCAAGTCCAGACAGCTCTCCAACTTGTGTAAGATTTTTTTACCATTACTGACTTACTAGTAATACAATTGATATTTTACTTTTTAATTCACATGCATATATATACGGACGAGATAACCAGTTACTGTTGATCTTTGGATGCAGTTGAAATGCTGGACTGCCGTCTGATGTTCTTCTATCCATATCATCTGATCTGTTTTCTTAAATCTATGAGATAATTGGTTGTAGTTTTTATGTATATGGGAGAACCAGTTTGTTGTTCATGTTCTCTATAATATCAGAATTTTCTGTATTAACTAGCTACTCTTTCAACTATGATGACAAGTAAATTTGATTTCTCAACCTAATTAAAGTTTCCATCTCTATCATCTTGTTGCTCATGCGCATACATTTGCATCCATTCTTAGTTTTTGCAAATCACAGTTTGAAAATGCATAAATGACTCGAAGTATACACACAGAATAATGTATGCATACGTAGGGGTGGATTTTTTTGCCAAATTGCCGTACCAACCGAATTGCCAACCGTGCCATACCGATTTTGTGCCAAATTTTTTGTACCAATCGGTAATGGTACGGTATTGTACCGTACCGAAATTTCATGGTACGGTATTGGTAATGGATACCATTACCACGGTATTACCGTACCATACCAAAAATACAATATAATTTATAATTTATAAATTATATAATAGATAATTATATAACACATATTTATAATATTCCAATAATTTGAAAATAAAACCCTACTTATATTAGTATTGTTGTTGGTGACTTTGATATCTTAAAATTGTGGAAATCAAACACAAAAGAGTTCCTAATTCTTTCACAAAATAGCCAAAATATCTTTGTAACGCCCACTTCTACTGTTGCTAGTGAAAATGCATTTAGCCTAGGGAGAAGGGTTGTGGACCCTTTTAGGGTATCCTTGACTCCTAAAATAATGGAGGCACTAGTGCGTACTAGTGGTTGACTTAGGGCAGATGAAGTAAACTTCTACAAGGAACCAACGGAATATATGCTTCAATTTTACAAGGAAATAGAAGAAGAAAAAACAAGAAAGATATGCTTTAATTTTTTTAGTAAATTTGTTATTAAATGGTTTTCAACTTTAATTTTTCTTGCTACTAATTAATATGTTTTCTTTGTTTGTAATGTACGCTTGACACAAACTCAATCTTCTACAAATTCAATGCCTCTTCCAAAAGTTTCGACATCTCAAGCTTGAATAACTGATCAATGAATTCTCCTTTTTGAAGTTTACTTCTAATTTTCATTTGGTTTGAAACTTTAATTTCTATTTGGATTGTTAACTTCTATTTGTTTTGGTTCGTAACTTCTATTTGGATTGTAAGCTTAATTTTCATATTGAATCTTGATGCATCATTTGAATTATTATGTGTGTGAATTGTGAATAATGAATAATAGATTAATTTAATCTACAATGTATGAGATAAAGGTACAAAAAAAAATTTTGCCCTTGAATTGGGTTAAAAAAACAAAAACAGATTTTGTCCCAAAACAAAATGGCAATTACCAATGCCATACCATGCCAACCGAACTTTTGGCAATACCGAACTTCGGTATACCGAGAGTTGGTACGGTAATGGTAATAGATTTTACTAAACCGAAAGTTTGGTACGGTAATTGGTACAAGGGTTTTGGTACGGTAACCGTACCGAACCCACCCCTATGCATACGTGTTAGACCGTCTTTGACAAGTAAGTAGAAATGAATAATGCCAACATAATGAATGAAGTATTTTTGTTTCATAAATTAAAACAAAGTGAATAGGAAAATATGTGCACACATGTTAAACTGTAATATATGTTTTCGCTGCGAAAATGGATATATGAGATTTGCCCTAGGAGCCTAAAAAGTGCAGGGCTAGGGTGATATAGCTAGGTTTTTGACTTTATAGAAGAAAAAATGGGCCATTGGGGAGAGTAGTTGAAATTTCTTGATCACTTTCACGTGAGCTGCTCATCCATCCGAGTCCGAGTGTGCCCAATATAGCCCAACAGCATAATATTGTGCATATCTTGTTTCACTTATTTGGGATAACATCCATCAGAGAAGAAGTACCACTCTCTCTACCATATCCTTTATTGGTAAATGTCATTTTCTCTGCACATATAGGACGTATGCATTCGGGACCAAGAACATAAAGATAATTTTGACCGAAAAAATAAAAAAGACTCAAAAGATAATTTGTAGATATGAAAATGTTAATGTGGATACATTTTATATGCATATGGTATAATCATTAGTTAACACACTTCAAACAAAAATACTTCATCATCTTTTGTTTTTGTTTGTATCAATCAAATTTACTACAAGAGATTTTGGCAACACTAACTTATTAGGGCAGTTCGGGCAACTCTCAACATCAAATAAGAATTGTGTGGTATCAAACGAGACCAAAATACAGAAGATCTCATGTTTTTGTAAGGAGTGTCCTACTAATGACAGGATCGGGCTGTTGCTACTCAAAGTTTTCTCCCACCAACCTTATGTATTGTTGTGGTATATTACTGCTTTACCATAACAAAGGTAAGACAACGCATTGTCGTCCCTCATTGTATGGGTATGATGAGAACTAGAGAAGATATGACTAAATGCCCTACCCAACCTAAAACACCCATTGGTGCCTGAGCATGTGACTGTGGGTCGTTAGATGCATTACGAAACCCATTTATAACAATGCCCCATAGTTGCATTGTGCGACTGCAACTGATGGTAGCGCTACTCGAACCATTTATCTATTGGTAGTCCTAATTATTCTCTTTTTCTTTGTTCGTTTTCAAAATACACCAGATAAATGGAATAGGAATCATATTACTCTAAAACTTGAGAAAAATTTTGGTACATAAGCAAGGTTGAATAGCCTTACTAACAAGTTTCGTCATTGATTAATCTAAGCATTTCAATTACCTGAGTAAAATTTACAATATGGGTGGTGCTATCCACGCCCCTTTTTACCTCCCACACTCAATTTTCGGCCTCGGGTTGAATAAGTTGAAGATCAAATGATATAAATTAATCATGGGTGTGTGGATAGCACTACCCTACAATATAATGTCAGAGAGATACATCCATGGGAGCTTTCTATCCCTTTATATGCATTGAAAGGTTGAATATCCTGATTCTATGGTATAATCGCACCGTACGATACCTTCTTCATCTATTGTCTATCATGATTTATGGACATGAAATAACACCATCTGAAGTGTCCTGAGGTGAGGGTGAGCAGAGACTGAAGCCGAAAACCTTCTTCTCTCTGTTCCCCAAACTCCGCTTTCGGGATTTGTCCCAAAATGAATATGGAAGAGCTAAAGGACTTCGTCCTCTTCACCCCATGATTCTACATTGCCTAACAAACTTGTTTGAACTGTTTACATGCTTGTTCCACAAGCCTCTTACCTCTGGACACCCAATCTCGAGCCATGGCTTTGCTGGGCCACTGAAATGGATGACCGAAGCAGCTTCCAATATATCTTCGGGAACCTCTGGAGATCGAGAACCTAGCCCAGCCACATGACATGATGGGTCAATAGGATGCACATGACCCTCAAATGCAATCAACGCGGGTGGAACTATTCCTGGATGCCACAACGTCAGCCCAGACTTCTGGTTCTGTGAAGTGCACATAGGATATTAGTATCAAGTTATCGAGACTCACGAGTCAAGAAATATGAATGTGTTCCTGTTTACAAGCAGTTTCCAGTCACAAAATACTGGCTAATGTGATAATATACTTACAAGTTTTAACCATTGATGGTACGTTTCTGTAATATTGGTCTGCCGCCAAGCTTCAAGATCAAAGACATTCATGCCATACAGCCACGCACAACGATCATGATCGAAGTTGGATGAAATGATAGGGTGTGAAAAATTGAAGTAGTCACTGTAAGTTCTTCCTGGGCAACAGTTGTCACCGCACCATGAATTGACAACTGCACCAACAACATTTCCATTGAGATCCAGTTCCCACAAAGATGATAAGTCATGTTGTACAACGATATCATCGTCCAAGAACACTATCTTGTTGAGATCTGGAAAAAGCTGTGTGGCCCAAGAAAATTAGATGATATCATTACAAATTCACATTCAAAGTCATCCACTCCATCAGGGAATATCTGTGAAAGAAATAGAGCAATTACCTCGGGGATATAGATTCGAAGAAGGTTCATAAGGGAAAGGCAGCTGGGACTCAGAGCTTCCAAGAATCTTTTATGTTTTCCATCGGATTCAAAATCATCTTCTTTCAAATTTCTGTAGTAACGTCTCCAAATCTGGCGATGGATCTCTAGCATCTCCTTGACTCCAACATTTACCTCCTGAGACCAGTCGTACTGGTGTAGCCCTTTAACTTCCACCACTGCTGATTGAAAAGAATTAATTGCAAACCAGGCATGCATTGGAGTATAAGTTTTCTTGTCAGTCACTATGTGAAAAATCAATTTTTCGGGCTTGGCTGATTTTTGGACTGTAGAGGAGATAACAACAGAAGCTGCGAGCACATTGTCAGTTAGGAGAACTAGGTGGTGAAAGGAGGGATCAGAAAGTCGAGAAACATATTCAGGTGGAGGTAAATGAGATCGAGCTATTGCATTTACAGCATATTCTTCTGCTAATTTGAGGCAAAGACAATGTATGCTCTTGGGCACACCATGGGAGGCTAAGTGCCAGTAAACCGATTCCCGCTGTCTGGCTGACTGAACCTTGTGTTCCATTCTTGACAGCTGCATTAAGCAACAAGCTATTCTTCAGTTAAGTTTTATATTATTTTCAAATGACATTCAAGCTGATAGCAAGTCATAAACAATAAATTACTATGGATCACCAGGAAAATTCACCCTTGCCTATTCATGAATTTACGACTCAATTTTCAGACTTTTTAACATATATTTATGTGCTAATTTATCACAGGTTTTCCAAAGAAAAATTTGCAATAGCGATGATGAATGCATATATTAACTTCTACTTCAAGTCAAATTTTGAACGTAAAAAGGCTAATTGCGGCTAGCAACAACAACAACAACAACAACAACAACAAAGCCTTTTCCCACTAAGTGGGGTCGGCTATATGAATCCTAGAACGCCATTGCGCTCGGTTTTGTGTCATGTCCTCCGTTAGATCCAAGTACTCTAAGTCTTTTCTTAGAGTCTCTCCAAAGTTGTCCTAGGTCTTCCTCTACCCCTTCGGCCCTGAACCTCTGTCCCGTAGTCACATCTTCGAACCGGAGCGTCAGTCGGCCTTCTTTGCACATGTTCAAAATCACCGGAGCCGATTTTCTCTCATATTTCCTACAATTTCGGCTACTCCTACTTTACCTCGGATATCCTCATTCCCAATCTTATCCTTT